GTCGTAGTTTTGGCTAATTTAATGTGAGTTTGTCCCATCCAGTTGGGCCCTTAGCCTGTGCACGACGGCGGCGCCAGAATGCCTGTAAAGAAGAAGCTGCAAAATGCTCCAATTGAGAACGAGGAAGCTCCCTCTGAAACTGCCACCAAAATTGAGCGACAATTGACTTGAAGTTGTGAGCCCTAATTGAAAATGCTTCAACTTTTGTTTGGGACATAAGAGTTGTAGTGGAGATAGGTAACTTAGAAAATGAGCAAAATTTGAATGCCCAATTTATAAGTTCTTCTCCATAGAAATCACTTTTCTCAAGGAACTTGCACACATTTGTTCCACCCTTAGTAGTTGTGTAGGTCAATGCAGTGCCTCTTGTGATGAAAAGCATCTTTCGAAGTGGTTCTCCCTCTCGAATGATATAAACATCCTCGCCATAAGTCACCGGCTTAAGATTCTTGCAGATTGCTTTTAACACTTTCTCATCTGTACTTTCAAGCAACGGCACCTACCAATCTCGTATAATTTATTAGTGTTGGACAAAATTTAATAGAAAGAATCTGAGCAAATTAACCCAACTACTTACTTTCTTTAGTGAAGCCAAGCCGAGACGGTGCTTATTACGTATTTGCTCTACCATGTCTGGATATAAAATTTCAATCTTCTGTCGCAATTTGAGCTGATTTGACATTTTTTTCGATCCCTGTATACAATTATTAATTTTATAGATACATAAGAATTAATACGGAAATTTATATGGAGGAGCTTTAAGTTTAAAGACATAAATTTAATTTAGAATATCACTTTGTCAAACAAAAAAAAGGACATATCAATTTTGTTTAACCACCAACCTGCACCCTTGAACTGAGATACACTAAAAATAGTGCCAAGCCACTTATAGAGATCACAATCGAAAAGATGATTTCGTCCTTACAGAAACTGGTCTGGAGGTTTGAACCAAAAGAACTGCAAAAAGAAAATGAAAAAGCAATATATTTGATAAGTTTATATCGCAAGTTATAATGAAAATTCCATCTGCTACCTAGCTCAAAGTGGGAGATCATCATGAAAAGTTAAAAAGCCTTATAAATATACAAACCTCAGATTTCTCAGGCCCCACCAAAAACATTGCAACATCTTCAGTGGAAGATCTCTTGAGCTTGTCATATTAGATTGGAGAGCGTATAGATATATACCAAAATCGAAAGGTAAACTTGTTATATTTGCTGAAAGTTGTACAGCACATGACTTTTGTAGAAGGGAGCTACTGAACATCATATTGTTTTGTGGAGTGGAGCTACTGCAATAGAAGAATTCATAAAACGTTTCACGACCACAAATATTATTAAATTTACAAACATGCTCCACCCAACAAACTACTTTTCGGTCCACAGCCAAAAAGTACCACAAGGCTCCGAATAGCTGAAAAGGACCGACAAGTACATAGTTAATAATCAAAGTGCCGTTAAACCAATCTTAAAATTAATTAAATACACCATAATATTAAATCAAAATGTAAAATTAATTAAGTATAACCTATTTAACTACTAAACATACTTTGATACACCTTTATACACTCTATCACACTGCACCAATTCAACACCCTAAACCAAATCTGATAATCTTCTCATTGGAAGCTCTGGGATTTCCTTCTCTCAACACCCACAGCATTTGGTGCTCTAGTTTTCAGAAACAAAGAACAACCAAAATATCATGTCAAAGAGAACTCTTTTCAAGCATTTCACATCTATCTTCGCTAAAACTTGGACCCTCTTACAGACTATTCCATGTTGTATGTAAATTCTGCACCTTTTTCATGTTCTACTAGCAAATCGTTCTTTGAGATTAACCCACATTGCATGAGAGGTGTGACTACCAATAACGCAGGAAAGATAATTAACATTGCTTTCGAATAAATAAACTAAGAGTTTTTTTATTTAAACCCCACACTTTTCTTTGTTCATCCTAATACTTAAATCATTAAGCTCTTAAGTTTTATTATTGTGTAGAAAGACAAAAAAGGTCATCCAACTTAATACCACACACCTCACCACTCTTCATATTAAGTTTTAGAAAAACACAAACTCCTCCACACCTTTATTTTATCAAACAAATAAAGTATGACCAACACCCTCTTTTTCCATATTTTGAAATATGGAATTAGAATTTGAAATTCTATTATATAAATTCCAAACAGCAGAGGGTCTCAATATCTAGTTTCTCTTATGCAAATTAAGAACAAGTTGATTATTTTTTTCTTTAAATGTGGAAGATAAGATTGAAACTTACATGAGCAGCAAGGATGAATGGAAGGAAGTCCAGAGCAGCTTTAAGAAATCTGTTTACTGCGGTCTGTATGTCAGCATGTTGAACGAGCCTTCGGTAGAGGTTATAAGCCCGTAGAGTATATTGGATTGGAATTAGATAAAATAGATTATTGTAAATGCTAATAAGGTATGTATAATATCCAATGAGTATGATTGCCTGGACATATTTAAAGCCAACAGTTAAAATTTGATTACTGTGTGTAACCAATATTAAACATTGTTAATTAACATATAAAGATAAATGTTTATATATGTTGAGAAGTAGGCAAGATAATATTCCAGTTGTTGACAGCATAACTCTAGCATGAGTAGCTTTGTTTTTTATTTATTTATTAAAATTATATTATTTACTAGATAAGATAGCTGTAGCTTCTCTTA